CTCATCACTAATGTTTTTATTTCACTCTCTCCCTTCCTCTCTGAAATCAATAAAAATATATTATATATAAAAAAAATAACGGTTGAAAATGTCCCTAACCTGGCAAAGGAAATAGACATGTAAGTCCAGGAAGTACAGAATCCAAAACAAGATGAACCCAGAGGCCCACACCAAGCTGGATCATAATTAAAATGCCAAAGTTTAAAGACAAAGAGAAAATCTTAAGAACAGCAAGAGAATAGTAGTTAGTTATGTACAAGGAAGCTCCCATAAGACTGTCAGCTGACTTCTCTCTCAACAGAAACTTTGCAGGCCAGAGGGATTGGCATGAAATTTTCAAAGTGATAAAAATCAAAGACCTACAACCAACATTACTCTACGCAGAAAAGCTATCATTTAGAATCAAAAAGAAAGATAAAGACAAGAAAAAACTAGAGTTTATCACCACTAAACCAGTATTATGAAAAAAGTTAAAGGGGCTTCTTTGAGAAGAAAAGATAGCCCTAGCTGGTCTGGCTCAGTGGATAGAGGGTCGGCCTGCAGACTGAAGGGTCTGCAGGGTCTGAAGGGTCCAGGGTTCGATTCCAGCCAAGGGCACATGCCGGGGTTGCGGGCTTGATCCCCAGTAGGGGGTGTGCAGAAGGCAGCCAATAAATGATTCTCTATCATCATTGATGTTTCTATCTTTCCCTCTCCTTTCCTCTCCGAAATCAATAAAAATAAAAAAATAAAGTTTTCTTAAAAAAAAAAAAGATAAAAAATATGAATAAGACAATATAGGAAAGAAAAAATTCTCACCGACAAAGGCAAACACTTTATAAAAGCAGTGAACCAATTATAAAGTTAGTACAAAGATTAAAAGACAAAAGTAGAAAGATAATGTGTAATAATAAATTAAGGGATACATACAAACATACATGAAAAAATGACAAAAACATAAATGGGAAGGGGTGAGTGATTTTAGGATATGTTGGAACTTATGTGACCATCAACTTAAAATAGACTATTACAGCCATGGCCAGTGTGGCTCAGTTGATTGGGCGTCATCCCATGCAACAGAAGGTTGCTGGTTCAATTCCTGGTCATGCCCCTGCCCCAGTTGTAGGCTCAATCCCCAGTAGGGGGTGTGCAGAAGGCAGTCAATTGATGTTTCATTTTCACATGAATGTTTTTAAATTCTCCCTCTCTCTTCCTCTCTATCTAAAAACCAAATTTTAGAAGTCTTTAAAAATACTGTTACAAACATAGCTTGGTAATTATATGTAGCACATGGCAGCCACAAACCAAAAGTCTACAAGAGAAAAAATAAAGGAACAGGAATCTGAACACAAAATTGTAGAAAGTTATTAATATATAAGGAGAGCAAGTGAGTAAAAAAGCCAAAAAATTTTTTTAAATATATTTTTTATTGATTAAGATATTACATATGTGTCCCTGTCCCCACATCACCCTCCACCCCGCCCCCCGTTGTCCGTGTCCATTGATTAGGCCTCTATGCCTGCATGTAAGTCCTTTGGTTGCTCTTTCCCCTTTACCCCCACCCTCCGCTACCCTCCCTCCAAAGCCCAACAGTCCAATCAATGCCTCTCCGTCCCTGGATCAGTCCTTGTTCATCAGTTTATGTTGTTCCTTATATTCCACAAATGAGCGAGTTCATGTGGTATTTATCTGCTCTCCAGTTC